CATTAATCCCATCCCGCTGCATCAGCGGGAGCAGCTCAGCCGGCGTGGCTGAGCCCTGGCAGGGGCAGGGCTGGGTGTGCAGGCACTGCTCCGGAGCTGGGGTTACCCTGCGGTGCTGTGAGACCGCAGGGTTTGAGGGGACAGTGCTGCCAGCATCCTGCCTCCAGTACAGCCCCGGGGGGCTCAGCAGCGTGGCCCTGGGGAACTGCTGGCAGGAGGTGGTGGATGTGGGGCAGGGGGATGTGCCGTGAAGGGCCCATGGAAGGGCTGTGCCGGGCAGGGAGGAGCAGGGGTGCATGCAGGGCCCCCTGGGGACACGGATGGGCTCTGCTGCTCATCTGCCTCTCACTGTGTGCGTGTGTGCATGTTCACACGCCCTCGCCTCATCACAGCCCCGCTGAGCTCTTCAAACCCTGCACATGCACAAAGCCCTAATCCCAGGAGCTTTTCCCAGCGCGGGGATGTCCTGCCCTTGCCAGGAAATAAACCAGGGTACTCCACACCTCCTCAGGGCTATGCACGTGGTGCAGTGCTGTGAGGGCCATGGTGCTGAGTGTGCTGGGCACTCATGGCTGGCACCAGGGTCTGTTCGCGCCATGCCAGGCTGTGGAGCTCAGGGAAGGGCAGGGGGATGCCTGGCTGTGTGTGCTGGTGAGAGCTGGGCACAGGGCTGTGGGTACCAGTGGCTGTCCCAGGGCTGCCACACCAGCACCCACCAACCCCTGTTAAACCCACCCTGTTTCTCTCCAGGCCCTGGCAGTGGTGGCATCACCCACTTCGTGGGGCCCTGCCCGAGGCCAGAGCAGGACACAGGGATTAGCTTTAAGCCGATTGCTGCTGCCTGGTAAGTATATACTTGTCTGTGGTTCCCATGGTGGGTCAGTGAATCTATTTCGTTTTGCCACCACAGCTCATCAGGGCTCATCATCTCGATGGTCTCTATGAGTGATGGTGACAAGCCCCTGCCCTGCCACAGCTTGGTGGCCTGGTGGGACACGCACAGAACCCTCCTACCACCTCCACCCTGGGCACCCATGGGGACAAGTGTCCCCGTGCTAGGGCAGGGATGGCTCTAAGAGACCCCCAGTATCAGCTTTAGAGGGCTGTGGCACCACATGTGGCTCTGGGAGGAGATGGAGAGGAGGCAGAGAGCGCAGGCAGGCAGCCCCTGCAGGCAGAGGAGGATTTATGGCTGCTGAGTTTCTGCACAGACAATAACTGCAGGACCCTGGGATGGGGGAAACTGCCCAAAAAAGGGAGTGTGGTGCTCAGCCTCCACTGCTGGGTGCTTTCCAGAGAGCAGGGATCGGGGGGGTGGTGGTGGTGCTTGTCCTGCTGGGAGCAAGGAAAGAATGATCATGTCTGCTCAGCACGGCTGCTGCCAGCTCCCTCCTGCATGCGGGGCGCGGGGCTGTGCCAGCGGGGCTGCGGCTGACTCAGGACAACGCCCTTCCCGCATGGCAGCCCTGGCCCGGCACCCAGCGGCACGGATCCGGCCTGGGCTGTGCTGTGCTGTGCTGAGCCGTGCCAGCGCCGTCGCACAGTGAGGACACTGAGGCAGGGAGTGTGCGGCGCCTGTGGCTGCTGCTGGGGCACCATGGCACCCCTTTGTCCTAGGCACAGAGTGGCACGGCCCCAGCACTGCCCCGTGCCAGCTCTGCTCACCCCAGCACTGCCATGGGTCCTGGATGAGCCTCACGGAGCAATGAGGCTTTGCCCCCATCCCATGTGGCCTGGACTTCCTCTCCTGGCCAGTCTTCCAATGCCTAATGGGGCCAACAAGAAGTCTGGAGAGGGACTTTTATGGGAGTGTGTAGCAATGGGACAAGGGGGAATGGCTGTAAACTAGAACAGTGCAGACTGAGATGGTTGGTATCTTAGGAAGCTCTGGCACAGGGTGCCCAGAGAAGCTGTGGCTGCCCCATCCCTGGCAGTGCTCAAGGCCACGTTGGACAGGGCTTGGAGCAGCTGCTCTAGTGGAAGGTGCCCCTGCCCATGGCAGGGGTTGGAACTGGATGAGCTTTAAGGTCCCTTCAACACAAATCAGGCTGGGATTCTGTGACCTGGGGTGAGTAGCAAAGCCCTGGCTGTGTTGTCCTTGTGGCAAGGGACAGGCAGGAAATGTGTGCCTCAGTTTCCCTATCAAGTAGATGGCTCAGTGCTCCAGGCTTTATGCCCAGAGCTGCTGGTAACCCGTATGAATGGGGCTGGGGGATGCACCCAGTGAGTCCCAAGGTGGACATTTGCCTAGTGCAGGGTCTCTGCCCATCCCCTGCTGGTGATGGTGCTGGTGCTGCTGCCCAGGTAGGTCCTGGTTGGGAGCTGGTAGTGAGAGGTGGGGACAAGGAGAACAGTGGTGCCTCCCACATGCTGGGGCAGGTCAGGAATTCCTCAATTAAAGGGCATTTTTTGGGCCAGAAATTGCCAATATTGTCCAAACCTAAATATCTCAGGGACAGGGTCATCCCTGATAGATTTCCTAGCTGAGAAAAGGGGGAAAGAGAAAGAAGGAAACGATCAGAACTCCCTGAGTTGGCATTTCCTGAGCCGAGTGCCGTGTTGTTTTAATTTGGGTGTGTGTGAGGCAGACATGACTTTCTATCCTGCACCGGCATGCCGTGTAACCCCCTAACAACCGGCATCAGAACAAACTGCTTGGAAAGGGTTGAGGCAGAGCAGTTGCAGCCACGGCAACCCAGCAGCGCTGTCGCGGGGGGAGGCTGGGTTTGGTGCTTGGCTTGGCATTTCCAGAGAGGTTTTGTGATTTCTACTTATGCGGGATGGGAAGGGCTTTCCCCATCTTTGTCCATTCCAGCTGGGTTTGGGGTGGTCCCTCTGGGCAGGATCTGTCCCTGTCCCATCGCAGACACCCCAAACCCCACCAGGAGCTTTGGGAACCAAATGGCAAGAGCCCAGTGCCCCTTCCATGTCCCCAGACAGGCACACATGGGTTTGCCCATCTCTCCTTTGAAGGCCATGGGGAGGGGACGGGGCACGCCTGGGAGGGTGGTGCCAGGCACCGGGAGTGCAGGCAATGGGGTGATGGGGCCCTGCGTCAGCAGCGAGTCCTAGCCTGGTGTGCTGCTGGCTGCACCCCGCTGAGTCAGCAGTATGGGTGGGGAGGCAGTTGGCCCTGGGACATGTCAGTTACCCCTGGGGCATTTCAGTTAGTTCCGAAGCATTCTGGTTACCCTGGGGCATTTCTGGTTAGCTCTGGGGTGTTTCAGTTAGCCCTGGGGCATTGGGGCATGAGCAGGGAATGGTGTGGGTAGGAACAGGGCTGTGTGGTGTGCGGGATGTGCCATGGCAGCAGCATGGTGGCCGTGCTGGCATTGCCTGGCTGTCCCCAGGGGCCTGTCCTTGCTGCGGGTGTCTGTCTAGCTGCATTTAGGGGTGGGAGTAGCTGGGGGATTAGGAACACTCGTCTATTCCGGCTGGGAGATAGGGACCAGCGCTGCCAGCCCTGTACCCTATGCTGCCCCTCACCCTGCACTTGTTCTTAGAGCTTGGGGGGGGGGGGGGGGTCATCCATTGATCAGCTGTGAACGGCAACCAGAGCGGGGGCAAGCGGGGTCCCTGTCCCTGTGGCACCCACCCGGGCAGGTTTGTATCGCTGGCATCCAAGGAGGCAGGGCATGAACTGGAGCGGGGACACGGCGCAGCGGTGCGTGGCAAAGGAGGGGACAGCGGGTGCCCCCCGGTGACTGGGTGCTCCCCCTCCGGGTCCGGCAGCGCGCCGGGGGGGGGCAGGACTGGGCAGGACAGGCAGGGCGGGCAGCGCGGGCTGCCTGCTCAGACCTACGCAGCACCGCCACCTGCAGTCCGCACCTCCCGAGCATGCTGCCTGCTCCTGCTGCCTGCTCTTGCCTGTTTCTGTTCCGGCCTGCTCCTGCTGCCTGCACCTGCTGCCTGCTGCCCCTGTCATCTCCTGTCTCCACCCGTGTGCAGGCAGGAGCAGGCCGGTAGTGTCTCTCTGCACCCGTCCCCCGATCTCGCAGCTCCCGGGCTGGGGTCGGGTCAGCCCCGCACGCTGGGGCTCCGGTGCGGGCAGGGATGTGATTCACGAGGGGTGGACCTGAGAGCCCGGAGTCTGCAGGGAGAGATCCCAGCTCCCGGCCCAGCCCGCAGCAGGGGCAGTGCATCAGTGCCAGTGGCAGGAGCACGGCGGGGCTGGGAGCTGTGGGACATGGAAGGGAGGACAGTGCAGGAGGAGAGAGCAGCCCCGGGTTGCTCCACGGGTGGCTCCTGGCTCTCCTTTCTGCCCCAGAGTGTGCTGGCATCAGACCATGGGCTCCCACTCTGCTCCCAGCCCCAAAGGAACAGTCAGGACAGAGTCAGTCGGGAGCTGAGACCTTTATTGACCTCAGGGCAGGGAGGTGCAGGGTGGAAGCAATGTGCACCGGCCATCTGCACACCAGCTCCATCCTCTTGCAGTGAGGATGTCCAGAGACATCCATCATTCTTTGGTGTGGGGCAGCTGGGGCTGCCTGTGCTGCATTGCCCACCTCCCCATGGCTGGGGTAGCCATGCCTCCCTCCCGCTTGCAGCTCCCCAGGTGGCCCCATACCTTGGTGGATGTCTCTTCTGCAGGCTGTGGCTCCCCATGGGATGGGCCCTCTGCAGCCGCCGAGCCGTGGCCCCAAGAACAGTATTTCCAGGAATCCCCAACGTAGCACCCAAGGGATTCCTGGGAAAACTGGACCCCGAGGGCACGGCGACCTGGGCTCTGGGCCAGCCCCACACTTCCTCACTGCTGGCTGATGGGGGATGCTGCTGCCACATCCCTGCTGTGCCCCTGACACACAAGGCTCCCACATTCCTCTGCAATCCCTCCCACTGGTGCCCAGCACCAGGCCAGGGTCCTGAGCAGACATGGGGGTCAGCTCTCCTCACATCACATCCTCACATCCTGTGCGGTCCCAGGGTGTGCAGTTCCTCCCTTCCCGAGCTACAGTGCTTCATCTCAGACTCCCAATTGACCAGAGATGCAGCACTGCACCTTGGGCTGGGAGACATGGAGGAGCCCGTGGTCATCCTCGCTGCGGCTGGCGTGTGTCGATGGCTCATCCCGTAGGAAAGCTGTGTGTCTGCCTGGCTGGCTGCAGGCAGAGAGGTTTTCCCCCTCCAGTGCCATGTGTCTGCATCCCCCATGCCCAGCCCCAGCACCTTGGCAGGACAGACCTGGGCTTGGTAGCTCTGCTCTGCAGGGACAGACAGGGATAGGGACAGAAAGGGGGGGAGTCTGCCTCTAAATCCATGCGTCCCCCATGAGAGTTAGTGAGGAGCTGGGCAAGAGGGTGAGGGTGATGGAAGTGCCCCCAGGGCTGCCACTCAGCAGGGCCAGGGCACCCTGGTACGGTGTGGGGCTATGTGTATCACAGAGCTCATCCCTCCCTGCCCTCTGCCCCTTCCCTGCCCCAGGGGATGAGGAGCTCCTGCTGTCCCTTCAGCCCTTGTCCCTGTCCCAGTCCCCATCAGGGCAGAGCCTGCAGCTGGCAGGAACCTCTGCTTCCCATCCCCATCCATTCCCAGGGTGGCAGGGCTGAGCCCAGCCCTTCCCATGGGCAGGGACAAGGGGCTGTGGGGTGTATGCTCCCTGGACCTTCACCCCCAGGTCTGAAGAGGCTTCAGCCCATCTGGACCCAAGGGCGAGGATCTGGGGCTAAGCAGGAGGAGAGGGAGGATGGAGGGAGCGGCAGAGTCCAAAAAAGCCTTTTGCAGGCGAACACTAACATCCTGTGCAGAGCCGGAACGTGATAAACAGAGCATCTATCAGAGCGGGGCCCGCGCTCCGGCAGCCTGACGAGAAGCAGATGCTGCACCTCCACTGAGCCCCTGCATCCGGCACCGGCCCCCGGCTGGGTGCACCCAGCTGCGAACTGGGGCAGAAGCCACCCCGTGCAATGGGCTGAGCTCCCCATGTGCTGCCCCTGGTTCTTAGTAGGAAAGAGTGGGGAGAAGACCCCCACAGTGCCCCAAGTTGGTGGCATCCATGGGTTGGGAATGAGGTTTGGGAGCAGCCTTGGCCAGTGTGAGGTTATCTCCATACCAGCCGTGGCCAGGCCAGCCCTGAGCTCTGGCCAAGGGTGGGAACAGCCACAGGGACCCAGTGCCAGGGGAGGTGCTGCAGGGACCCTCCTGCCACCACGTGCCATTGCAGAGCCTCTGCCCCACTGCTGGCCCTGCCGGGCAGCACCCCAGCCCCACACACACCCCAAGGAAGGGACCATCCTGCTGTGAGCAAGGAGCGAAGTGCTGGGAGGCAGCCCCGCTTTGTGCAGTGGGGCAATGGGGACAGGGGCAGGATCCTCCACAGCCTGTGCCCGTGCGGCAGCTGCTGTCCTGCTGGCTCTGCCTGTCTCTTGCCGCTGGCCATGCTCCTGGGGCTGATCGGTCATCACATGCCTTCAGCAGCTCCCATGTCCCCAGGGACACCCATGGCAGAGCCTGTAAGACAGAGGATGGCAATCAGTGTGGTGGGGCAGAGGGAGTGTGGGCTGCTGTAGAGCTCTTGGATCCCTTCTTGGGCAGCTGCTATGGGGTCCAGCGCCCCACAGGACAGAGGACAGCAACGCCAACAGCTCCATGCCCACAAGAAACCACATAACAGTCACTCACAGACCTCCCTTTGGCTGCTCAAAGCCATGTGTGTGTGGGACACATTCCCCTCTCCTGGTGGTAGCTGCAGGTCACCCTGCAGGAGCCCTGCAGTGGGCCCTGGGGATGGCCCCTGTCCTCCCTCTGTCAGCGTCCTAGCCTCAATGGGAAAAGACAGAATGGAGCCTTCTCTGCCCCCACGGCCCTCAGCTCCATCCCCAGGGAGGTGGTGGTGGGGTAGAAACGCTGCGAAGGGCTGCAGGAATGCGCTGGTCTGAGCATCCTGCCGGGATGGAGGGAAAACATCTGCGGGGCTCACCCACCGCTGCCACAGCGGAGATCTTAGAGCGAAAGAGGCACCCCATCCTCCCTCTGATGACCCCAGCGCATGTCCCCAGGATGGGGTGGAAAAGCCAGTGCTTCAGGGCCTGCCCTTTCCCCCCATCTCCACTCTTGGATTTGTCCTGGTTTCCCAAGGAAAGGAGGCTACCACCATTATGCCACACAGCCACCACGCTCTGCTCCTCAGCACTCCTGTTGTTGCTGGAGGACCTCTGTGTCGGGGGACACCAGTGTGTCCCAACCTGTGTCTGCCAGGACAGCTACAGCCCGGGGTTGGTTGTCCCCTCGCTCGCATCATGCAAGCACTCCCCATAGCTCCAGAAGAAGACACCAGGATAACAAACGGCTGGACTCAAGGTCCTGCCGATGCTGTGGGGACCATCAAACACCACCGCATCTCCCGGCCGAGGCTGCCAGGGCACGGCGTGCGTGCCCAGGACAGCGCCCCGGCTCCTTCCTCGCTCACACCAGCACCGCTGGCGCTGCCTTCCCCCTGCCCGCTGCTCACCTCCAGCCTCCTGCTCTGCTGAGCGCTTCCCCGGTGGGTGCTCGGTGGCCACGAGCTGCCTGCCCGGCGGCGCGGGGCTGAGTCAGAGCTCGGCCCTCCCTGCGGTTACAACACAGCGCCCTTTCCCCTCTCCAGGCAGCCCGGGGCTGCAGGAAATGTCCCTTTAACAGCAGTTGGGATTTGTTTCCTCCTTCAAATTCCCCAGCCCCATGAGACCAGCTGGGAGGCCAGGCCCTCGCCTTTGAGGGAAGCCTGAACCCTCTGGCTCTGCCCTGCTCCCTGAAGGAGGGAGGAAGGCACTGGGTGATGCTCATCCCTGTGCGTGCACCCTTTCTGCTCCTCCTGGCCCCCAAAAGCCTGATCTCCACCAGCCCTTGGGGCTCCATCATTGCCCCAGATGGGCTTTGACCCAGCTTGGCCATCCGCTACTCAAGCAGCCCTGATGCCACCTCCTGCTGGCTGCGGGACTCATTGCTGGGTGGTATCAGCAAGGTGAATCCTGCCCAAGGACCCCTCCACCTGGTGCCTCCTCCTAGGTGACGGAGGGGAACATGCTCGTACTGGAAGAACTCACTGTGCTCTATAGAAACCTAAGGGACTGACCCCAGGGCAGCTTCTGCTGCCTGTTGGGTGTCCCTCACAGGCAGCGGTCACACAGGGATGCTGCTCAGTGTTCCTTGGCAGCACACGCTGGTGGCAGGACAGCTCCAATGCCCCTTCCCAGTGGGGCCTTCCAGCTCTCCCAGCATCTCCATCCCGGTCCCCATGGACTATAGCAGCCTCTGCAGAGGAGAGGTACCTCCTGTTTCCCTTCCTCCCTGCCTCCCTCACCAGCACTGGTATTAAATCAAAGGTTTATGAGAAAGTGGAGGGGCCAAGGGAGATCCTAATCTGGTGGCAGGCTGATTAACCCCGGGTTCAGGCTGAGGTCCTGATGCTGGGCTATAAATAGCTCTGCCTTCCCTTTCCCATCCTTCCACCGGTCGCGGCGTTCCAACCCTTTTATGGTCAAAAAGGCAGATTTGGAGACCGGGCGGCCCCCATCTCCCATGCTGGGGACGAGCCAAGGGGGCCCAGGGGGATGGTGCTCCTTGATGGGCTGTGCTGGGATAAATTATAGTGCCAAGAACAAAGGAGCAGGTTTGGGGGGCTCGGAGCGGGGATGGGTGTGGAGGGGAGAGCACATCTGGTTTGTGCTCATTTTCCCCCCTGGGGCAGGCGGCCTCTCTCCTGGTGCTGGAGTGAGGGAGAAATCACCTAATTTGGTGCCTATGAGGAGAGCTGGGCTTGAGATAGAGGGTGGGGATGGCAGGAGGGAGCCCAGGGACAGACAAGGTGTCTGCCACCTTCAAGCTGCAAACCAAGTTGACATCAACGAGGGGCAGGGGACCAGTGATGCCCGTCCTGTGCTACCACACAGAGCCCAATGGTTTCTGCAAAGCTGCTGGTGCCATGAGGCTGAAACCCTCCTGCAGCACTAGAGCCTGGTTTAGGGGTGAGAAAGAGCCTCCAGAGGAGCAAGCAGGAGGAGCAGGAAGCGGCATGGCTAAGGAAGAGCCAATGCACACAGCAGTGCGGTCATCGCCTTTCCCACGGCCGCAGCCCTTCCCCGCTGCCCCCAGCCCACCAACAGCCATGTCCTCATCCTTAGATGGTTTCCTCCCGCTCCATGGGGCAGAGCAGCCCTGGGCCCCCTCCCCAGCCCACCACTGGAAGGTGTTTGGAGCCCGAGGCTGATGCCTGGTGTCCAGGTGCAGGCCCCAGGGCACATGGAGCGTGGGAGCGGGTCCCAGCACCAGCCCTCCCGCTCTGTTTACACGTCACATTCCCGGTCCAGAGGAAGTGGTGCAGGGGTGAAGTCCCAGCGGGAACAGGCCGTCACGTCACCAGCCTGCAGCCCTCGCTGGTGGGAACCCAGAGTGCTGTGCAGAGAGCTCCCCGTGGACGCTGTTCCCAAGCGGTGCAGGGAGGCTGCTCTAGCATCTTCCTTGCTCCCTGGGCTCTGCTCCTCACCCAGATCCTGAATGGCTTCCAGCCAGAGCTTGCCTGAGGAGCTGATGGAAGGGATGCTCCTTGGGATGCTCCTTGGCATAGCGGTGTGCAGGAGCTCATGAGGCCAACAAAGAGCCTGGAGCTGGAACAGGCAGGGAGCAGCAAGGCTCCCTTTCCTCTAGCAGAGGCTGGAGCTCATTAAGCTGCCAGTGCTCTTGGCTCCTTATCCAGCCCTTATCATCTTATCTCTGCTCCATGAGGGAGAGGGGGATTGGGGGCGCGGTGCACAGCATCATCTGGACATGAGAGGACCCCAGTTAGTAATTCACACCCCCTGCAGGCCCCAGCGTTCCCAGCCCTGCCTGCTGCCCACCCAGCTGAGCAGTAAACGACACTAAAAGAAAAAGCCCTAAATGGGCCGAGCTTCAAGCAAGCAGGAGATGAGATGTGGAAAAGGATGGAGCACAAAAGGTACATCAGGACTGATACTCAGGCTGGTGGGAGTGGTGCAGCTCATCTGCTCAGGTGTGATGGGGTTTGAGAGGGATGGAGGCACCAATAATGAAAATGGAATTTAAAATATAAGTTTGAAAGGGGAGGGAAGCAAAGGAAGAACAGATCTGCAAGGAGGGATCCCAGGTAAGGCCAGGCTGGAAGCGAGAGACGTTGCCCTGTGTACCAGCAACCAGCGAGTGAGTCCCACAGTGAGCACCAGGCTGACCCACTGGCCACCACAGAGCATCTGCACCACGCACAGCGTGGCATGTGCCACAGCCCCACAGCCCCATCCCGGGCCCTGTCTGCTGCTGTCTCTTGTCCAAGGGAAGCTGCTCATCCGCCTCCCAGCCCAGGGAGAGGCACTGACATCCACCCCCCAGCCCTGTGTTGCCACCATGACAGGGACATGGTGGTGCACATCCCTGCAGGTCAGATGTGCTCTCTCACAGCGGTCTTGGGGCACAGACCTGGCCGCCTGCATGCTGCCGGCCATCACCCACAGACCCTGCTGCCCTGGGTGGGCAGCATCTAGCACTGCCAGCACATCCCACCTGTAGCAGCTGGGGAAGAGGCTTAACAGTGCTGTCGGGTCCCCTTCCTAACACAGCCCCAGCTGGGGCCAAGCACATGAGATTCACAGGGGGCAGATTGCCTGGAGCGGGATGGTGCCCATCAGCACACTGCATCCCAGCACCCTGACCATCTCCTGCGGCTCTGGCACTGCATGGTTCCCCCCCAGTGGGACAGGGAACACGTTGGTGCTCAGCACCTCCTACTTCAATATCTGAAACCAAACAGAGCCTGGGCAGGCCGGCTGCATGTGTGTCTGTTCTCCTGCCTCACTGACAGCCGCATACAGCACACACCTAAGGCAAGCACTTGCCAGCCCTCCAGAGCCTCCTCCCCATCCCCACAGGCAGTGTGACCATCCCCACTTTGTCCACCAGCACAAAGCAGCTCTGCCCCTCACCTCAACCCATGCTGCCTCACAGCCACCACAGCCCAGGCACTGGAGCTCAGCCCCACTGCACCAGAGCTGAAACGGGCTCCTGCACACTGCTTTGCGGAGGCCAGCTCTGCCCTGGTGCCGCTGCTTCTCCCTGCCCCAGGACGGTGCTGCCACAGCAGCTCCATGCGCAGCTCTGCAGCTGCACAGGCTGAGTGTACAGCAGGGATCTGGATGCTGGAAGGGTCCCTGCCTGTCCCTGGGGCAGCCCAGAGCACCCACTTGTTCCTTTCGCTGCCCAGGCTGGCCTTGCTGTGCCCACCCCAGGTAACCCTGGCTCTACAGGGTTTCGGGGTTCCAGGAACAGTGCGTGCCCCCCCAGCACCCCTGGTCTGCAGCCACAGGATGTGTGTTGGGCTTCACCCCCGGCTGGAGCCTCCCCCCAGTGCAGGATCTGCTCGCTTGTGTCTGTGCTCCCGGCCAAGGTCAAAGGATGGTGAAATGTCTCCAGAGCTCAGATTTCCAGCCTCTTGCCTCATCGCTTGCTGCTCACGGCGGCTCGCTCATGAAGACAAGCTCTTGCTGCTTCTGCCCTGCACAGGTTAAGGCACTGTAGCCATCCTGGGGTCCCCAGCCCAGTGCTCAGCCCCTGCACTGCCTGTGCTCCTGCCTGCCGGATGCCTGCACCACGCCACTGCCCATCACCATAACCAAGGCATGGCAGTGACTGCTGAGCACAGTGCCCAGCATCCTGCCTGCTGCTGCAGGAGCCCCACTGCTGGGAGGCAGAGCAGTGCCATGGGCTGAAGTATGGCTCATCTTGGCCATGGTCAGCAAGAAGCTGCGGCAGGCTGCACCCTGGGCCCTGGCTCAACCCAGCTCAGCCCTAGAAGAGGAGCAGCAGGAAGCCAGGGATGAGCAAAGGCAGGTTTCACTGCGGGTACAGAAGAACAAGCCTTGGAAAAGCCTGATCAGGAAAAATGCTGGTTCTTGGGTAGAAAAGGAGACGGAGAAAAGGGAAAGAAAAGCAAGAAAAAAAAAGCCCTTAATCATCTCCAGACTGCCTCTTGACAAGCGTGGAGGGAAATGCCACTCCATCCAGCAGCCACCCAGAGCTGCAGCCTGTCTAGACAGAACCGTCCCCGAATTCCTGCTGATAACTGCTTGGGAAATCTTTGGCGGAGGCGTCTGCCTGTGTTTGTTGGAAATAAACTCCTCTCCTGTTGGCCAGCAATGGGGAGGCAATGCCATTGCCCTTCAACAGAGCACCCTGGCCAGTGCGCAGAGGCTGGGGAGCTGGGACAGCATAGGCAGGATAGCTCCATGCTGGGGACACTGCCGCTAGGACGGAGTTGGCCGTGTCACACTGGTGGTTCTCCATCCCCACATGCTCCATCCCAGTGCTGAGATGCTGCAACTCCTTAGGAGCAGCCAGCGACAGTGGGAATCCATTGAAACACAGCTGGATGGGGACAGACGGGACGGTGGTGGCCACAGCTGCCCTGAGAGGTTACGGTGCCCTGGTTACTGTCACTGTCCCTTTGCAGAGGGACACGTAGCCCATACAGGAGCTTGCACCCCCAAGGATGTCACTCGCCCTGGCTGGACCCACTGTGCTCATGCAGGACCCTGCTGGTGTTTGTCCCTGCGGCAGTGGGAGCTGCCTGCGGAGGAGGGACATGGCAGCTTGCTGCGACATGCCCGTGGGGCACCGTGTCCTCAGGTGACCCTCTGGGAGGGGACAGACACTGCTGGTGCCCTGGGAGCAGATGGACAGCCCGGAGCCAGCCGTAACCCAGGCAGAGGCAGCACCACGTCCTGCAAGGGACGGGCAGGGAGGAGGCACAACCCAGAGGGAGCCTTTACAATGCTTCAGCTCGAGGCTGTCTAGGAACAAGCCGTGTCTATGCCCTGAAGCCATCGCAGCGCTGCCATTGCTGGCTGCACGCCCTGTGCTGTCCCCACCAGCCCAGCCGCTGGCTCCCATAGGGTGACCTCGCTCATCAGTCGCTGCTGAGCCGCCAGGGTAGTAGGATGAGGCAACCGGTCACCCAGTGAGTGATGGAGCTGGGCGATGCCAGCAGCTGGGGTCACACCAGTGTGCTGGCTATGGGCTGCAGCCAGGGGCACAGAGTGAGGCAGTGGCACCAGCTGGACTGGCACTGGGGTTCCAAGATCTGTGGGCTGTGGGGTTCTCTCGGTCATTGTGTCTTCAGTACCCTGGAAGTCTCCCGTGGTGAGCTCCAGCCCCCTCTCCTCCCAGTCGGTTTCCCCCGGACAGTGGCAGCATCATGGCCGGGCAGTGGAGCCGAGCGAACTGCCCATGGTTCTGCTGCATGAGGAGCATGCCTCCCTCCAGCTTCCCATTTTTCCCATCCTAGACATGCACAGAGCAGGAAGCAATTCCTCCCCCAGTTCTGGGAGGGCCCTTCCCCACCTCCACAAAGCTGGGTGAGCCCCAACAAACCCCTCTCCCAGGGCCAGGACGGAGCTGTAGGGACAGATTTTGGGGAACCTCTTAGCTCAGGGCTGCCCGGTCCCGAGGCAGCTCTTGCTATTCCTTGCCAGCTCCATGCCCAGTGGGTTTCCCTACGTGCATCCCATGGCCCTGCTCTGCTCACCTCCCTCCCAAAGCACCCCTGCCCAACCTACTCGAAGCCGTCTGGGCTGAGCATCCCATGGCTGGAGGGATGCTGGAGGAGCCACGCTGTCCCCTGCCTGTCCCTGCGCACACCCAGGGCAGGCACCAGGCAGAGCAGCAGCACTCACACCGCACCAGCATCCGCCCATCCTCATCACGCCATGCGCCCATCGCTGCCACCCGCGCACCTTCCCGCTCCCTCCATCCACGGGCACCTACCTGCTGCGCCACACGAGGCACCACGGGATGCGGGCACAGCCCCGCCACCTCCTCCCGGCACATTATAACCGCCACTGGGACCCCGGTGCTGCCAGCCGGGGTTTTTTAAGCAGCTGGCACGGGACCCCTCAGTGAAAAACTGCTTCCAGGCTGCTCAGAAGCTGCAAAACCTTTTTGTTTTTACCTTATATGAGCTGCAGGAGGAGGCCAGGCTGCGACGGGCACCGCTGTCAGGGGCGCCGAGGGGATCCATTGGCTGGGGTGCCGTCACGTGGACCCGCCGCCGCGACCCGCCGCCGCGCAGCCGAGTGTTGCTTTTACCCCCTAAGGAAGGGCTGCTTGACAATTTTCATATTTCTTCTAAATTTGGAGATTTCAGACAATGCTGGAGGCTTGGCTCGGGATGCCAGAGGCCCATGTGGAAGTCATTAAGGCGGAGAGGGGGAGCGAGGGAAGGAGGGCTATGGGGGGAGCAGGGGGGAGGAGAGCAGCCAGGGCTGCAGGGCTGCCAGCGGCACGCCTGGGAACCCAGGCCGTCCCGACCGGAGAAAGTTGTTTGCAATAGCTGACTTCCTGCGTGCACGGGGGGGGGGGACGCGCATCCCACCGCCGGTGGGGCGGGGGTCCGGTGGGGCAGCCTGGCCGTGGGGCCGGCGTGGTGCTGGCGGCTGTCCCGCCGGCCGGGGGAAGGAAGCGGAGATGCTCCCTGGCCCGGCTGGAGGCGGCTCGTGATTCACATTACTTTGAAAGGCTCCATCTGGCCTGGGAAAAAAAGGCGTTTTGGAGGACGCGGGGCTGCCCGTGTGTGCAGGGTGAGATCCCGAGTGCTGCTGGGGCCGGGATCCACATGGGAGAGTGATGGTGAAGCCAGAACTGGATGCACGTGGCACCTTTCCCTGGGTTTTAGCACCGCGGGGAGCCAGGGTGGGAGCTTCATCACTGCAGGGCTGCGTCTGCTCAGCCCCTCCCGGCTCTGCATGGACCATGAGTCCATGTATGGCCTCCAGCCGGCATTGGGGCCCCGGGAACGAGCAGCCAGTTGGCAGCTGCGGAGGGAAACACCCGGCACTGATGTGCCTTCATCCTCCTGCACCGGCCGTCAGCCCCTGGCATGGCAAGGAAAGCACGGCCTCTGCTCTGAACACTGCTGTCCTGCCTGAGCCCCAGCGCTGTGCTGGGCTCTCCTGGGGCAGTGGAGCCAGCAGCTCGACTCCAGAGGAGGAAGCAGCCACTGCAGGGACCTCTCTAGCAAGTGATGACTGAGGGAGAGCTGGGGAGTGAAAGGAGGACCAACAGCTTCTCCTCTGGGGTTTCCAAGCTGGTATCTCTCCATGGGGGAAGAAAAGGGCTGGTGGCTGGGGTCTCATGTCTGGAGAATTCTCCTGGCTCATGGGAAGGAGCTCATCCTGAGCTGAGCATGGGCACAGCAGCACTGCTGAGCACTCGTGGGGCCTGGGATGTGCACGCACTGCCCTGGCCTCAGTGGGGACAAAGGTGGAGTAAGAGCCTGGCAGGGCAGGATTTCCATCAGCACATTCTGGAGGGACCAGGAAAGGAGACGAGCCCTACCGTCCTCAGGCCCTTGAGCCTGGGAGCTGGGCACAGCCCCAAAGCCAGGACCAGGGCCCCTGTGCCATCGTGCCAGGCTTTGTACAGGGATGCTGTGGAGCGTTGGTGTTCCTCCTGCTGCTCCTAGACTTACGCGTCACCTCAGCACCAAAGTCCCTGCTACAGAAGCTGAATGTCCTTTCAGGCCCTCCGTATCCACCCTGGGACATCCTCCCATGCTGAAGCTGTGGCTGGCCCCAGCAAACCAGCCCTGAGTGGCTGCAGACATCTCTAGAGGGTCAGGGCTGGAACAACCCCTGCTGCCTGCAGGAGATGGGTGCTCAGAGTCATGCAGCTCTCCTGGGGGGTGAAGGAAAGCTGACAAAGCCAGCTCTGAACTGGCTGGCCTGGTTTAGCTCAGCTGATGGAGAATCAGCTGGAAAGAAGGAGCATGGGCAAGACATTCTGGGAGGTAAAAGGGTGAGGAGGAGCAGCAGTGGATGGGCAGGCTGCTGCTGAGCACCCAGCTGTGCCAGCCACCTCCTGGGATGGCACCTCGAGGTGTGAGCAGGGACAGTGCGGAGCACAACCAGTGTGGAGGAGAAGTTCCAGCAATAGGGTCTAGCCGAGGGGCAGGGTGAGTTGTCTGGGAGGTTTCTGCCCTGGAAAGGAGTAAGGAACTGGAGTGTGATTTTGCACCACTATACACGCACACACTCACCTCTGCTCCCTGCAGCAATGAACCCTGCATCACAAAACGGGCAAATGGGGGAACAACCGTGTTCTCAGCCCCGCTCTGCAATGGGGATGCAGGGCTGCAGGCCAGCGCGACCTGACCCAGCGGGGGGAGCACAGGACACTGGTGGGAGCGAGCACAAGGCACTGGAAAGCAGCCACCAACATGGCTGTGGGGGATGCTCAGCATCTGCCAGGAGAGCAGGGACTGGGGCGGCAGCGCCTGGACCTATGGCAAGATGGCCAAAGCCAGGTCAGAGGGAGCTGGGGTCCTCCAAGGAGCCTGGGCCACCACTGGGGTACCTGGCCAGGAATAGGAAGGATTTCTGTGGGGCTGCTGAATGCAAACCCTGACTGCTTGGTTCAATCCCTGCACACACACAGTTCCAGTGGCCCATGGCAGGACAAGCCTTGATTTTGCTATGGCCCAGGAGCAGACAGCCTGCAGCAGGTCTGCCTGTGGTCACCAGGGCACAGGGCAAGCCAGGCTAGGCTGGACGAGCAAAAGGAACCGCACAGAGCACAGCGTGGCCCCTGTGCTGCAGATAAACCTTGGTGCATGGCACAGAGCTAGGACAGCATGTGTGGCATGTCCCCAGGACACACTGGGGCTCCTCCGGGGCACAGAGCCCTCCCACACCATGTCTGACCCCTGTACCCCTCACTATGTGAGGCACCCCATGCCTGCAGTACTGAGCTCATCCCTATCCCGTGCCCTGTGAGCCCAGCAGCCTCCCTGGGAGCCAGGATGGAGCCGGCATCTCCCAGCCCCTGCCACCCCATCCCTTCTCCTCTCCATATGGCTGTGCAGCCCCTGCTCTCGGTGGGCTGGCTTTGAGTGAAACACAACCAACTGCTGCCATGAAACAAGCCCTATAATTAGAAAACAGGTTTCCTAAATGAAGTGAAAAATGTAACGTTAGCCTCTGTTTGTTCGCTGGATGCTGCTCTCTTGTTCCATGACCCAGAGGGGTCGTGCCCTGTGGTTTCTGAGAAGCCTTAATAAGGTAATGTTTAGGAGGTTACTATCTTTACAACTCTTGCCTTGTTACAACTCCATAAGAAAAACATTTGGGGCAAAGCAGGATTTCTTGGCGCGGGTTTGTTTTCGTTGCTCCTTTGCTCAGATGCTGCCCAGCGAGCCCTCCTCACCGCCATTCAGATTCAGGATCTCCACAAAAGTGCCTTCTTTTTCCACCCTGCTGCTGAGCTCCAGCTCCTGGGCTGGGTGTGAGGGACCGGTGCTCTCATTGCAGGCAGTGGGCAATGCTGTGGGGCGGTGATGGAGAGGGTGCCCTGGGCAGGCTCTGAGGGCTGCTCCCACCTTCCCGTGAGCTCAGGGAGCCACAAGAGAGCCCCCTCTCCCATGAGCCCCGTTGACATCCAAACACACCCAATTTAGAGCCTTTTCATTTGCTGTCCCACATCAGAGGGGTGCTGGGCGCTATTGGGTGTTTCTCAGCCCTTGAGTGTGTCATTACACCCCAGAGCATGCAGCCCCTGCCTCCCTTGCCCCCATGCATGCACTGTCTCCTTTGCAGGGGCAGGACGGTGATGAATGGGTGAGCTGCGCTCTGAAGGTGACCTTCAGGACTGGCCTGTGCTGCTCTGTAAATCCCTTCCCACCACAGACTGCTGAAACAGCAGCACAGGAGCAGGGATGGGGACCAGGGCAGGAGGCTTTCTGCCCTGACTGCAACCACCAGATCCCACCTGGTGACCATTCCGCACTGGTTACCAACACATGCAGCGGTGTCCCCATGCCCAGGGCTGTGGAGAGGAGAGGTTTGATTTGAACACTACGCACCAGACGTCACTGTCACTGCTGAGCTTTCCATTTACCTCCGCCTTCTGCTGTGCCCTGGGAAACTGGGAGCTTGGATGCCTGCCCACAAGCAAAAGCCACCAAAGCCCTCAAAACGAGAGGATTTCTCCTTGCAGACCCAGATGGCATCGCTGCCCTGAGCTCCCTCCAGCACCGTGGCCTTGCAGGGAGGGCAGCGAGTCTGGCTCCAAGCTGCCCCATGTCCTGCATGGGGCTGGAGGACCAGCCCTTCCCATGGCCAGGAGCTGGCATGCAGAGGACATCCTGGCAGGACCGTGTCTCACCTTTGCAATGCATCACGAAATGCAGCCACCCCTCGGAAGTCCTCAGGGGTCAGTGACTCATTGCTGCTTTGGCTGCTTTCAGCTGCAAGGGGGAGCAAAACCAACTTATTTGGGAGCCCCACATCGTCTGTCCATGCTCTGCACTGGCGGGCAATGGGGCACACAATGAGGCCAGGAGCCCAAAGGGCTGGGGAGGGTGGAAGGGCAAGCACAGGGGACACAGGGAGCAGGGCATGAGGCCAAGTGCCCATTGGGCTTGGCAGGCTGATGGAACACATGCCCAGGTAGTGCCTCAGTGGTCCCTGCAGCCTCTCTGCCTGAAGAACACCATGGCTCTGCTCTGTTATGTCCTATGGCGGTCAGGGACTGCCCCACATAGAGAACCCAGAGGGGTCCCACTGGGTCTGGGGTCTGTCCCTGCCATGCTCTAGTCCCGGCCCCTGCGATTGTTCCCCACTGCCACCGTAGGGTGAGCCAGTGTGGGGCAGCAGGAGCAGGGATCCATCACGGCACAGTGCCGAGCAGGGGCGGAAGCAAGCGAGCGTGTCCGACATGGGAAGCGGCAGAACAGGCTTTTTCCATCAGGTGCTCTGTCTCCAGGAGCAGGAGGCAAAAGAAAACAAAAGGCAGGAGAGGAGAGGGGCAGGAGGAACCTGCGCGTCTGGATCATGTAACCAGCGACGTGCTGTAAACGCTGGGCTGCTGATGGATGTGCCGGCGGCAGGATGTGCCGGACCCGCACCCTCCCTCCCGTCCCCCCCCGTCACCCCGTCACGGAGCTCTGCCGACGCCGCTG